TTTTTCCGTGTCCGGCAACGGAGCACAACCCTCAGTGTTGCCCCCATACCGGACCGGGGACCGGCAACGGGATTACAACCCTCGGCATTGCTCCCGCGCCTCGCTCAGCCAGTGAGCGGGAACCGGTCCGTATGTGGGATCCGAACCCTCGGGCGGGAGCGCCGCCGCACTTCCCAAGCGGCGCACTATCCAGTGCACCACCGGGCCCGCCCCGATACTATAAATTTTTGAAACTTGACTTTTCATTTTCCCTGGAATTTATTTACTATATGGCATAAGTTGAAGACATAACTTTATTTGGCTTGTTTCTCCAAAAATAGTGTACAGATTAATTTAATTCAAATAAACAGCCAAGGAGGACTTCTTTGGCAGGTTTACAAAATGATTTCCCGGAGGAATGCAGTCCTGCTACTTCAATTGTATTTTCAAAAGGCTATTTCATCAATTTATTAAGCCAGGAGCTCCTAGCTGATTTGAAATAGGACAGAAACAGTGTACCAGTCATGGCCCAGTACCATAACTCTTTGCAAGAATCTGGGTTTTTTGGTCTAATGCAATGTTATACATCACTCTGTCTGTCTCAGGTGGTGGTGTTTCTTGAGGCTTTGCAGATAAGAGAGATAACTCAAACCTGGATTATGTTTATATCAGTCAGGATGAATTTCTGCCCCCTTCAGAAGGGAAGGGGTTTATAGTAGCCAACTTGCCACCAAGTAGCTGATTGATCTTAAGGGCTGTTGCTATATTTGGGCCTCCATATTTGTTTCTGTGATTGGCAAGTAGGATATTTGGCAGGTACAGTAGCTCTACCAGTTTTGAAAATTTGGAGCCCATTCTGTTAGGCACATGCATGACTCCATTTCAGTAACCACTTTTTTTTTGTTGTTTCCTCTGAGCTAGCACTGGGGTGGCAGATGAATAAAGCTGGATAACCTCAAATGGCTGAGACATTCTGTCTACATCATTGTATAGTGGTTCTTTTATCGTAGATATTCTCTGGTGGATATTTACAAATAATATAAAGGTCTCCACACTTGGTATCCATTCCAATACACACATGCATAAGCCTCTTCCTCAGATAGATTCATTGACATGTTTCTTCCTCAGTCTCCTAGCC